ATTACAGGCTTGAGCCACCGCGCCCGGCCTTGTTTTAACATCTATTTTAAAAATTTGCACAACTGGAGACATTTTGAGAACAGAATATGTAACCTATATTTTAAAATACACAATATAATTAACTTAGCCCCTTATACATTGTTTATATTGTTAGAAATTATGGGAATCAGGATACAAATTAGTAAGAAAATGACTGCAAAACTAATACAACATGGTGAAACCCTGTCTCCACTAAAAATACAAAAATGAGCCTGGTGTAGTGGTGCATGCCTTTAGTCCCAGCTACTCAGGAGGCTCAGCATGACGTGCTCACGCATACATTGTTCCCAAAAACCAATAAGTACAAAGTTTAGAGCCTCGAGGCTTACATGTGAGTAACCTGAAGCATTTCTCAGACACCTGGTGATCAGCAACTGCCTCCAGCCTAACGGTTACCAGGACAAAATGGGCTCTTTCACTTACTAGATCTTTGACACAACACAAATCATACAACCTCTCTAAGCCTCAGTTTCTGTCTATAAAACAGTGATGACTGCAACACAGGGTTACTGCAAGGACTAAAGGAGAAAACATATATAACGTGCTTACCACAATGCATAAAATACAGTCAGTGCTGAAAAATGAAACCTATTATAATTGTTCTGTGAAATCAATTTAACTGTAAAATAACTAAAGTCACAGAAAGGGGTGTGGAGAGCACCAAAAAGAAAATTAAGAGTTGTATATTCCTTTCTCGATACCACCACCATGTGATCTCGGGAAATGAAGTAAACCTCTCCAGCTCTAGGTTACCTCATCTATAAAATGAGATCCTATCATCTACTCAAAGAACATTTGCGAAGGGCCTACAATACTCCCATGAAAGTCTAATATGCCTCTAACTCTTAAAAAAAAAAAAAAAAAGGAAAAATTTGTGGAAACTCATTTCCCCAGAAGGAAACTGGATTAATTAATAGTTATGTTTCTTTGTACAAATACATCTTTTAACAAAGTGAATTTTATTTTTAATTTTAAATCATTATGATTGTTTATAAAGAGAAATCACATCTTACATGACTTTTTCTAAATGAAAATGACACATACTTAAAACAGTTTTCTTCATAGATGACATTCCATATTTTCCAAGCATCTGGTCCCTTGTAACCAGTGTAGCGCTCAGGATTAAGAAGCAAATCTACATATTCAGCATCAGGGGACTGAATGTCTGTAAAATAAAATGTCTTATTAAATTATTCTTATCCTCAGTTACCTTAAAAAGCTAGTACACAAGACTGTATTCCATTAATTCTAACACACCACAAATTTAACAATGTGTCAGCAATTTTAAAACAACTTTTCAGGAGAAAGAAAGGAAGGAGGCTGGGTGTGGTGCCTCACGCCTGTAATCCCAGCACTTTGGGAGGCCAAGGTGGGCGGATCACTTGAGGTCAGGAGTTCAAGGCCTGCCTGACCAACATGGTGAAACCCTGTCTCTACTAAAAATACAAAAAGTAGCCAGGTGTGGTGGTGCACGCCTGTAGTCCCAGCTACTCCAGAGGCTGCAACAGGAGAATCGCATGAACCCGGGCGGCAGAGGTTGGAGTGAGCCGAGATTGAACCACTGCACTACAGCTTGGGTGACAGAGCGAGACTCCATCTCAAAAAAAAAAAAAGAAATGACGGAAAAGAGAGAGAAACACACACTGCCACATTAATTGTACATACTGGCTACAAAAACATTATGATTTAGGAACTGTAAAAATAGGAATATGTGAATTTTAGAATCAAAGAAACATGGTAATTCAATTCTCATAAGCAATCCAGACAAAGAATATAACATACATTTCCCTCCACATTAACCACAGCAGTTCATCAATAACTACAGTAAATGAAGGAGTGTTAGTATCATACACTGCTTGTTACCAAATACTTTCTTCTTAGACGACCACCAGCAGGATCTGCTACCAATCTGGCCAAAAGCAAAAGTTACAATGCAGCATGATTCTGTGTCAACATTTATAAAAGGGAAAACTGGAAGCAACCTAAACATCCAACATCACAGAACAGTTAGAGCACGGGCTCTGGAGCCAGAACACCCAGGCTAGAATCCAGACCCTGTTACTTATTTATCATTTATAATGTGTTACCACCTCAAAACAAAAAAGATGGTCCCAGGGTGGGCGCAATGGTTCATGTCTGTAATCCCAGCATTTTGGGAGGCCTTAGGGCAGACCGCTTGAGCCCAGGAGTGATTCTAAAATTCACAGGCAACCTGGTGAAACACCAGGCATCAATAAAAAAATTAGCCAGGCACCATGGCACGTGCCTGTGGTCCCAGCTACTCAGGAGGCTGAGGTGGGAGAGTCACTTGAGCCCAGGAGGTCCAGGCTGCATTGAGCTGTAACTGCACCACGGCACGCCAGCCTGGGCAACAGAGTGAGACCGTCTCTCAAAAAAAGATGGGCCATAGTCCTCCGGTGGCTTTGGGAAATTATTTGGTACTATAATAATACTTTATTCATATATAAAGCTTAACAGTATGAGCCAACGAAGAATGAAACAAAAAATGAAAAAGTGGACAAAAATGGTCTCAATGCAACCAAAGTCAATGACAAAAATATGAGCACAAAAGTGCTTAGAGGAGAGTCCATCAAGCTCTCAACTATACCTATTTTTATTATTAAAAAACAAATATAAAAACAAAAAAAAACCCCTAAGCTTGGTTATTTTTTACTCTAATTCACAGTATATTAGAAGAATAAATTAGGAAAAAAGTTGCTTCTAGAAGCAGTACGATGATGGCGTCTTAAAATAGCAGAGTTCAATGCAGAAATGGCAATTAAAATAACTAGAAAAACAAGACATAAGGACTTAAAAAATTAACATGGAATCATCTAGTTCAGGAATGGATAACTATTCATTTCAATTAATACTAAAGGTAACTGCCACATATTAATTATAATAAATTCATTTTATAAACCCTGATTTTTTTTTTTTTTTTTTTTTGAGACGGAGTCTCGCTCTGTCGCCCAGGCTGGAGTGCAGTGGCCGGATCTCAGCTCACTGCAAGCTCCGCCTACTGGGTTCACGCCATTCTCCTGCCTCAGCCTCCCAAGTAGCTGGGACTACAGGCGCCCACCACCTCGCCCGGCTAGTTTTTTTTTTTTTTTTTTTGTATTTTTTAGTAGAGACGGGGTTTCACCGTGTTAGCCAGGATGGTCTCGATCTTCTGACCTCGTGATCCGCCCGTCTCAGCCTCCCAAAGTGCTGGGATTACAGGCTTGAGCCACCGCGCCCGGCCAAACCCTGATGTTTAAAATATATAAACAGCAGGCCGGATGCAGTGGCTCACGCCTATAATCCCAGAACTTTGGGAGGCTGAGGCGGGCGATCACATGAAGTTGGGAGTTCGAGACCAGCCTGACCAACATGGAGAAACCCCATCTCTATTAAAAATACAAAATTAGCCGGGCAAGGTGGTGCATGCCTGTAATCCCAGTTACTCGGGAGGCTGAGGCAGGGGAATTGCTTGAACTCGGGAGAGAGAGGTTACAGTGAGCTGAGATCACGCCACTGTACTCCAGCCTGGGCAACAAGAGTGGAACTCTGACTCAAAAAATAAATAAATAAAAATGAAATAAAATATATAAACAATGGTCAGTATCCAGTACGTTAAGAAAACTAACCACCAAGAAATGATTAAATATTTAAATATTCTACCTAGAGATAAACATTTGTTGCCTCATAATTTTAATTATAAATACTTTATTCTTCAAGCTTATAAAAAATATTACTATATTAATGTAATATTATAATTATATTATAAATCTTATAATTATACTATAAATATTATTATAATTATAATTATATAATTACATTTAAATTACTATAATTATATTAAATATTACTATAATTATATTTGTGCCAAGAATTTTTACCATGTGTTGGTTCCTATCACTGAATAGAACATGAATTTTTTCACAGAAAACTAGTCAAACATGTTCTGTAAAATCTAAGAAAAGACATTTAAGAACCCATTTGGCCCTTATAGGAAGATGACAATATCCAGCCCTAGAAGCAGAAAACGTGTGTTGTGCAAAAACCTATATAATGTGCTGTTTTCTATCACTGAATAGAACCTGCTTTTGACAAAAGCTCAAATTTCTAATTAGGATTTTTAAAATACCTTCTATATTTCACATACCATTTACATCCATTATTTAGTCCTGCTAAAGCTGTCTTTCTTTAAAATATTCAGCTTTTTTAAACAGAAGAAACTAATACAAATGGGTAAGTGATTCACCAAACTCCGCCATGTAAGAAATGAATCACTGATTCTCACTTGGTGCTGCACATTGTGGTCACAAAAGGATACTTTGTTAGCGAAGGTTAAAATATTACCATCCTTTTTCTAACACTGGAGGACTCAAAAAAATTATAGCTGCATACTACAAATTTAGTTTTATCTCACAACAACATTTAAGGTAAAAAAAAAAAAAAAAAAAAAAAAAATTCCTTGTAGAAATGATGGCAAAATAAGGAAGTTGGGAGAACATCTTATCCCCTTCCTTTACTAGACCAAATCTTGATATAGGTCTATGCCCCTTATACAACATGCCTAGGACCATGTGTGTCTCAGCTGGAATGGAGAACTTTCCAGATTTTACAAAGGTAATACAGCACACGCAACATCTATTGCATATTACTCCAGCTGGACCTGAGGCAGCAATCTATTCAAATACATAAATATTTCTACAGTGAAACATATGAATACTCACACTAAATGAGCCTGTGCTAAACGCAGGGGGAGAAATGTTCAATTTTCAGAGTTTTCAGATTTTAGAATTGGAAGTAAGGAATTATAACTAAGTATATACCAAAACATGGCTACGGTTTCCATTAAGGAAAGCAATTTTCCCCAAAAAGAAGCCACAAAATTAAAAATACTTTCTCTTTTATGGAGATTGTAGGCTTCATCTTTTGCTTATAATTAAAAGAATTTATATCACTGTTTTCACTAATTTGTTGTGGTTGTTTTGGGAAAGGGTCTCACTGTCTTAGGCTTGGAGTGATGCAATCAGGGCTCACTCCAGCCTCAACCTCCCTGGCTCAAGCAATACTCCCACCCCCCTCGAGTAGCTGGGACTACTGGCACATGCCACCAGGCCTGGCTAATTTTTGTATTATTTGTAGAGACAGAGTTTTACCATGGTGCCCAGGCTAGGCTCAGCAATCTTCCCTCCTCGGCCTCACAAAGTGCTCGGATTATAGGCATGAGCCACCAAGCCAGGCCTGTTTTCACTAATTTTGGAAAGATCATTAGTCCACTAGAAAAGAGCCACAGAAGAATACCAAAACTCAATTTGATTTGATTTTTTTTAGCAAATTAAGAGGCTAACAATTCAACTTAGAAAAAGGAAATTGGAAAAGCACAAAAAGGAAGAATTGGAAAATCTATACATCTTAATCAGAGGTTTTTATTCTTTGTTGGTTTGTTTCTTGAGATGGAGTCTTGCTCTGTCGCCAGGCTGGAGTGCAATGGCGCAATCTCAGCTCACTGCAACCTCTGCCTCCTGGGTTCCAGCGATTCTCCTGCCTCACCCTCCTGAGTAGGTGGGATTACATGCATGAACCACCATGCCATGATCAGAGTTTTAACTCCTAGATTTTAACAGCACCAGAACTCTGGCTTAACTTTAGACATTACAAACTCAACCAATGGTTCAATATTCTCTTCTCCAAAAGCAACATGGACCATCATTAAGGAAAATACGTAACAAACCAACAGCAATATAACTGAAGGAGGTTTTTGTAATCCCTACATTTTAGCTATTTATGCAAAATGTATATACAAAATTTTATAAACTACTAGCTACACAGAACGGCAACACTTAAGAGGTAAATTTTTTCTAGAAACTGAGCTTTTTTAAACTGTGGTAAAATAGATATAATAAAATTTACATTAACCACATTTAAGTATACAATTCAGTGGGGTTCATTATCACCACTATCTGTCGCCAAAACTTTTCCAGCACTTCAAACAGAAACTCTGTAACCATTTAGCAATAACACCTACCAATCCCAAACTCTGACAATCTTTAATCTACTTTCTATCTCTATGAATTCGCCTATTGTTGACATTTCATATAAGTGAAATCATTTAATACTTGCCCTCTGGTAACTGGCCTGTTTCACTCAGCATGTTGTCAAGGTCCTTCTATGTTGTACTATATATCAGAGCTTCATTCCTTTTTCTGGTTGAATGGTATTCCACTGTGTGTTTTATATACCACATTTTGTTTACCCACTCAAACAGTGCTGGACAATGGGGTTGTTAAGACCTTTTCACTACAATCAACATTATTGCTTTGCTGGACAATGGGGTTGTTAAGACCTTTTCACTACAATCAACATTATTGCTTTGCTATCTGTTTGAGTCCCTGTCTTTAATTTTTTTGAGTATATACCTAGGAAAGGAACTGTTATGTCATATGGTAATTCTATGTTTAGGTTTTTGAAGAACCACCAAACTGTTAGCAACTGAGCTTTTTTCTTTAATAACATTTTTCTGAGATGGGGTCTTACTATGTTGCCCAGTCTGGATTCAAACACCTGGGCTCCAGTGATTCTCCTGCCTCAGCCTCCAGAAAAGCTGGGACTACAAGCACACACCACCATGCCCAGATTAAAATAATTTTTTTAAAAAAATTTCTTAGGTATAATTTTAAACATAATGCATACTATCAAAAATATTATACCATCAGCTTCACAGAAGTTATCTGAAGAATCATCATGCTTGGTCCACTGAAGAACAGCCTTCTGTGTTTCCTCACTTCAAACAAAGAAAAAAAAATAACATTACTATTTTATAAGTTAATATGTAACATAAAGAAACATGAAATACTACTGAAAAATAAAATCAAACCTCAGAGATTCATCCACTGCTCCAAGTCGTTCAGCTTGTTCACATTCTTCAATGAGATTATTGGCTTCTTCAGAATACTAAAGTGAAAAAGGGAATAAATAGACTATAACTTATTGCATCTTTAAAACTTTTTTAAAAATTAGAAGTTATCTGAAGCTCTTTTTTGATTTTATTTATTTATTTATTTTTGAGATGGAGGGTTGGAGTGCAATAGTGTGATTCTGGCTCACTGCCACCTCCACCCCCTGGGTTCAAGCGATTCTCCTGCTTCAGCCTCCGGAATAGCTGGGACTACAGGCATGCACCACCACACCCAGCTAATTTTTGTATTTTCAGTAGAAACGGGGTTTCACCATGTTGGCCAGGCTGATCTCGAACTCCTGACCTCAGGCAATCCACCCACCTCGGCCTCGCAAAGTGCTGGGATTACAGGTGTGAGCCACCGCGCACAGCCTCTGAGGCTCTTTTTATAGCTGGCACCTTCATCTTGGCTTCAAAACTTTAAAAAAAAAAAAATAAGTTTTCACGTTCCTCCTGAAACTAAAAAATAAAATGCTTTGGCTGGGCGCAGTGGCTCACGCCTGTAATCCCAGTACCTTGGGAGGCCGAGGCGGGTGAATCACAAGGTCAGGAGATCGAGACCATCCTGGCTAGTACAATGAAATCCTGTCTCTACTAAAACTACAAAATATTAGCCAGGCATGGCGGTGGGCACCTGTAGTCCCAGCTACTCAGGAGGCTGAGGCAGGAGAATGGCGTGAACTCAGGAGGTGGAGCTTGCAGTGAGCCAAGATCACGCCACTGCACTCCAGCCTGGGCGACAGAGCGAGACTCCGTCTCAAAAAATAAAAATAAAATGCTCTGCCTCTTGTTTTTTGGGGGGAACACAATTTACTATTATGTTCACAAAATAAAGAATACAGTTCTGATAACTCATTACTAAACTGCCCACGAATAAAATCTTCAAGGTTTTAAGAAAGTCATGCGGTAAATGGTCAACAGGTACTGTCTTACTTTTCTAATGACGTAAGTATGGGCATCAGTTTTCTCTTCCATAAAATAAGCAGTTGGACCAAATCATGTGTGTCTAAAGTCCATCCCATGCCATGATGCTAAGAATGCCTGGGAACCTACCAAGTCATAGAAAAAATATTCTGTAATCTCAGCACTTTGGGAAACCGAAGTGGGGATCACGAGGTCAGGAGTTTGAGACCAGCCTGACCAACATGGTGAAACCCCGTCTCTACTAAAAATACAAAAATAATTAGCCAAGCATGGTAGCACGTGCCTGTAATCCCAGCTACTCAGGAGGCTGAGGCAGGAGAATCGCTTGAACCTGGGAGGCGGGGAGGTTGCCGTGAGCCCAGACCATGTCACTGCACTCTAGCCTGGGTTACAGAGCGAGACTCCAGCTCAAAAAAAAAAAACAAAATCCAACATTTTTAGGTTTCCAAAATATATTCTTTAACAATCATATTTCCTCTCAATGTCCAACTCACTTTACATATATATTCTACTAGGCCTGTACATGGCATAAGGTAAGCAAGTTGGTTTATGGGATTTCATAACACACCAGTTCATCATACAGGTGAAGGACAACACTGGGAGGCCACGAATTCAATCACTCAACAAACATTTATTGAGTGTCTATTTTGGCCTTATTGTTAGGACAACTATACAAACCACTTTCCAGACAAGGACACTAAAATAAATGAATCCTAAAATAACTAAAATGATATAGTTTTTTGAAATATTTATTTATTGAGTGACAACTTAGTTTCATTATATTGGTATAAACATGTAAGACAACATAAGACAGCTTGCTTCAAAAACTATCTTTAAAATAAAATTATTTCATATATAATTAAGTACTAAAGGACAAAAGGATATATGTTCAACCTATAATCAAATGGCTCAGAAAATTATATATATAATATATAAAAATATATGACATTATATAGTACACATAAAATATATATCACATATATAGTGTTAGATATTATATAGTAGGTATATATACTTTTTAGTGTGTATATATACACACAAAAATGTGTACATATGCAAAAATACATGCATATATATACACAAAAATGTGTATTTTATATATATAATACACATATACAAATGTCCATTTATTTTATCATGCTTTTTGTGTGTCCATATATGCACACAATAAGTATGGTAAAACAAATGTGGCCAGGCATGGTGGCTCACACTTGTAATCCCAATACTTTCGGAGGCTGAAGTGGCAGGATTGCTTGAGTCCAAGAGTTCAAGAACGACCTAGGCAACGCAGCAAGACTTTATCTCAAATAAATATATATGTGTGTGTGTGTGTGTGTGTGTGTGTGTGTAGATATATATACACATATAAACATAAAACAAAAAATAAATGTGGTAAAATATAAAAATGTAGTGAATCTGCAGAGCGTACAAAATGTCTTTATATTAATGTTGCAACTTTTCTGTGAGTTGGCAATTATATCAAAATAAAAAGTTAAAAATACTGGCTGGGCGCGATGACTCACACCTGTAATATCAGCACTATGGGAGGCCGAGGCGGGTGGATCACAAGGTCAGGAGATCAAGACCGTCCTGGCTAACATGGTGAAACCCCATCTCTACTAAAAATACAAAACAAAATTGGCTGGGCATGGTGGCATGCACCGGTAGTCCCAGTTACTCAGAAGGCTAAGGCAGGAGAATCGCTTGAACCCAGGAGGTGGAGGTTGGAGTGAGCCGAGATCACGCCACTGCACTCCAGCCTGGGCGACAGAGCAAGAGTCCATCTCAAAAAAAAAAAAAAAAAAAAAAAAAAAAAAAAAAAAAAAGATTAAAAATACCTACCAAAAACGAACAAAATTTGTTTAAACAATAACATATACCTAAGTATATTAAAACAAAAATTTTAAAATCTTACTATTGCAATTACCTAAATATTTAAAAATAAACTGACAAAATAACCATTCTTAGTTGCTGCTTAATAATTTAATCAGCTTCTTAGTCACATGTGATACTATGGCATTAGCATTTTTCTGAAGAACATACTTTTTTCCAATATGTTCTTATTACTTTTAATTTTTCATAAAATTGCCCATAATCAGGCCGGGCACGGTGGCTCATGCCTGTAATCCTGGCACTGTGGGAGGCCATGGCAGGTGGATCACCTGAGGTCAGGAGTTTGAGACCAGGCTGGTCAACATGGTGAAACCTTGTCTCTACTAAAAATACAGAATTAGGCATGGTGGCACGTGCCTGTAATCCCAGCTACTCTGGAGGCGGAGGCAGGAGAATCGCTTAGAACCCGGGAGGCGGAGGTTGCAGTGAGCCGACACTGCACTCCAGCCAGGGAGACAGAGCAAGACTGTCTCAAAAAAAAAAAAAAAAAAAAAAAAAAAAAAACTGCCCATAACATTCTTCAAAGTTACATTTTATGGTTGATCAATTTACAAACACTTTGTAAAGTTACATTTTATGGTTGATCAATTTGAAATTATCGATACCTTCTACAGATACAATTTTTTTCCTTCTCAGCAGATATAATTTTTTGTGTATGTTTTTTTGCTTTGTTTTTTTGAAACAGGGTCTCATTCCGTCTTTCAAGCTGGAGTGCAGGGGCACAATTATGATTCACTGCAACCTCCAACTCTTGGGCTCAAGCAGTCCTCCTGCCTCAGCCTCCCAAGTAGCTAGGACTACAGGCACACGCCACCACACCTGGCTAATTTTTCATTTTTCTTGGAGACAGGGTTGTGCTATGTTACCTAGCCTGGGGTCTCAAGCTCCTGGGCTCAAGCAGTCCTCCTACCACAGCCTCCCAAAGTGAGATATAATTTCTTTTTTTTTTTTTTTTTTGAGACACAGTCTCACTCTATTGCCTGGGCTGGAGTGCAGTGGCACAATCTCAGCTCACTGCAACCTCCTCCTCCCGGGTTCAAGTGATTCTCCTGCCTCAGCCTCCCAAGCAGCTGGGATTACAGGCGCCTGCCACCATGCCCAGCTAATTCTTTGTATTTTTAGTAGAGATGGGGTTTCACCATGCGGGTCAGGCTGGTCTCTAACTCCTGACCTCGTAATCCACCCGCCTCAGCCTCCCAAAGTGCTGGGATTACAGGCGTGAGCTACCGCGCCTGGCTAAGATGTAATTTTTTAATTAAGAAAACATTTTCAAAGTAAAATTAAAAAAAGAAAAAACATTCTCTCTTTAAGTAAATATGTGGAAGTATTTTAACCCAAATATTTTCACAAGTTCCATTCTTTTGCCCCTAAAAAGTACATTTCTTCAATAAATATTTTAAGACAAAACATCAAATAAGTTGTCTCTATTTTTTGATTATTTTAAATGTTTTGACAAATTTAAAGCGTGGGTGTGGTGGCTCATGCCTGAAATCCCAGCACTTTGGGAGGCCAAAGTGGAAAAGTTGCTTAAGGCCAGGAGTTAAAGACCAGCCTGGGAAACACGGCAAGACCCCATCACTACAAAACAAATTTTTAATTAGCTGGGCATGGTGGCATGTGCCTATAGTACCAGATACTCAGGAGGTTGAGGTGGCAGGATTGCTTGAGCCCAGGAGTTCCAGGTTACAGTGAACTACAATCTTACCACTGCATGCCAGCCTGGGCAACAGAGACAGACCCTGTCTCTGACCAAAAAACAAAACAAAACAAAACAAAATTTAAAAAGTTTGGTCAAACTTAGAT